TATCTTACATCAAATCCGCCGGGGTTAGAATACGTATTTAAAATATCGTCAGCTTCCTGCCCATCAATTTCGAGGGGTGTATCACTTAAATTCTCCTCTTCTTCCGCGATCATGCTGACCGGTCTGTTAGAAATTGCCAAAGAAACCAAAGTTGGTGTACTTTGTGGATCTGGTGAGGGACGACGCAAAGGAGTTGTTGATGGAGATAAATGTCTTTCAAGCTAAAAAAATATAAAAGTCATGAATTACAATAAGATCATAAAAATATATTTTGATGAACTCACGAATATGTACCTCAGTTGGGTCAATTTTCCAGAAGTTGTCATCACCATCGTCTAGACCATCATCATTCAATTGAATCGCATTAGAATCTAAATCACTACCTTCAGCTATGAGCGCATCTAAATCCACTGAACCATCTGTATCTGAATCAGCAGAAGAAGTTTTGTCTTTTGAATGTTTTATACGAGCAATTGTGCTGAACATAAAATGTGAGATTTGCATAATTATTTATTATTTTTGTTTTAATTTTAATTTATTTATATATTTTTTATAACTTACATCTTTCCATCTGATTCTGCGGAATCAATAACCACAGTAGGAGTTTCTTCGAGTTTATCAGCTGCAGTAGCTTTCTTTTGTGGTACCATAATAACTATATCATCATCAAGTTTCTGCCCGGCGGACTGGCGCTTTTTCAGTTTCTTCAAATTTTTTAACTCTTTTCTCTGAGACTCGCGATCCGCTGCTGCTTTTTGACGTCTTTCATCAGGGCTTAAATTGCTATCTATTTGATGATTAGAACTATCTGATGGCAAGTTTTCCGATTTTGATAAATTTGAATTTTCTTTCTTAATTTGCTTGCTAACAGATTTAGAAAAAAATATAAAAGTTTTAAAAATAGGAAAATTATATCACCATCACATTAATATTTTATGGATAAATCCCGAATTATAAAACTTATCCTCCTTTAGTATCATAATATATAATAACTACCTTTCTGTGAGTGTAACCATTAATTCATCTCCTGTATTATGTCTTGAAATTGATGATAAAGAT